AGAAATTTCTACTCCTAGATTGGCTGTAATCAAACGAGATTTTTTAATTAACTCCGAAGTGACTCCTTCTGCATTCTTGCAATCATTCTTAACCACCTCCAAAATATGCTGACCAACGGCGATGAGGTATATTGTCTTTATTTGCAAAATGTTTACTGTAGGTTCCAGCTTCATTGAATATTCAACAATTGTCATAAATCCTTTCCTGCCCATGCACAGTGGTACCGTAGTAGGTCATTCGCAAAAAATATTGATATATCACTAATAAACAGCTACTCTAACAGGGAATACAAAAAAAAATAAATACAATAATTTTCTAACGCGAAAGCTCAGTTTCATCCGCGGAAAGTGAACACTTGCTTATTATTTCTAAAACTATGCAATAATTTAAGTGAATCGCTGAGAAGATTTTGATCAATTATATTTACTTGTCAAAACTTTTTTCATATGGAGCTGAAAGCTGAAGGTATGTAGAATATTCCAAGTATGTGATTTTTTCTTTAAAGTGTCTTAATAGTAGTTTAAATATAATTTTAAATAAGCGGTAGAAAATAAAAAAAAATGTCTTTTCCGATTTATCAAAGTTTCTTAGTTAAATTTTCCTTTAATTTTCAGTTTTTATTGTTTTAGAAAGAAAAAACAAATATTTTTTATTTAATTTAATTTTTAGAAAACTTATTGCCAAAGGCAACACACAGTATTACGCTAAGACCTCCTCGTTAACAGATCTTTCAATTAGTCTTTCGAAAGACAGAAAATAACCTTCAAGATAATTGCAAGAGTTGACCATTGTCTTACGAAATAATTTTGCTTTTCGAAAACAGTTAGCCAGAATGGCCGGTAAATGCGGTGATTATTGAAATTATCAATTAAAATTGCAAACGAGAACAAAAAAGAAAGAAAATAATGCTCTTTTTGAGAAAGTCGACCATTTTCAAAATAATCGTGCCCAACTATAAGCCTTGTTTCAAAGGATTCTACGCTACATGTATATACATACGTACGTACATACATAAGTATATAGTTATTTCAAAACTATTTGCTACTTTGATTGCACTTTCCGCACAATTTAGTTCCGTTGCTACCAAAAACAAAACAAACAATTTAAACTTTTCAGGTTAAACTAAAATAGCCCAGGTAGCCTTTCTCACCGAAGGGTCTTCAACGAAATTGCTGCTATTAACTTAAAATGCCCGAAAGCAAACCGAAAATTTCTTTACTTACAACTAAATAACTACTTACCACGCTGATTGTTGTTGTTTGTTGTTGTTGGTGTAGTGCTGCCATTATTGCCAATATTTGAATTTGAATTCGATGAATTGCTATAGAAATTATTGGTGTGGTTTGTGAGACCATTCGAGTTTCTAATGGACGTTGTCAGCGGCGAGCCCAAGCCATTGTCAACATCAGCACCACCACCTCCACCGCCACCACCACCTCCAGCGCTTGCAACGTGACCAGCAACTTCGTTGGCGGTTGTGGTTTTTGTATTGATATCAGCTTGTGTTGTTGCTGTTGTCATGTTGTTATTATTTGTATTGGCGCTAGAGGCCAAGCAGTCAGCTATTTGCTGTCCAGCGCTTATTGTCTGCAGTGCTTCGTTATTAGTTGGTGAGTTGTTTTGCTGAGCGGCAACGTGCAACACCCTTATTGTTGCAAGGTGTTGCCCTCACTTGCAAAGGCACCAGTGTCTTCAGTGGTGGCGAAATGCTGCAAAATTTCAGTGTAACTAATATCAAAAGCAAGAAAACGGGCGCAAGACTTTAAAGGCGGCTTCGTGTCGCAGCTGTGTTGTGCCACTTCTTTTATTTGTTGCACTTTTCGAAAATTTCTGCTGTGTTTAGACGTTAACTTTTTTATTAAACAAATTTGTTGCCTCTTTTATTGTTGTTATTTGATGTGTTCAGCAGTCGGGCCAATTATGTGCTCTGGCAACATACATATTTTGTTGTTTATTTTTACTAGCTTAGCTTTGCACTCAATTTGACAGCTGTTAAATTTGTTACTAGTGTTGATTCAACCGTTGCCGTTACTGCGGCAGTTGCATACATACATATGTATGTATGTATGTACTTGGGAGTAACTAATACAGCGTTGTCATGTTTTATTTTATGCTCTTGGCGCAAACATTTTTGAAATCATC